AGAGAAAAATTCAAATAAGGCAGGTAAAATTCATCTAAATCATACTAATGGGAAACAAACTTCAGAGAAAATTGTATGAGCCAGAGAAAATTATAAACAATGAGACATAATTTTATGAGTCAGAGAAAATTATGAAACAAGTAACATAATTTAGATATCAGAGAAAATCAATTAGGGCATATAAGTTAATGTTACTATAATTGTGTCAGAAAAATTTGGATTCCAGAGAAAATTCATTACAAGGGAAGAAATAAATAGTAGTAATCAAAGAAGCAACATAAATAGAAATTTCAGAGAAAATTGATCTCAATCAGTCAAAGCACATAAATTATGGACCAGATAAAATTCATCTAAATCATACTAATGAGATACAAACTTCAGAGAAAATTTCATAGGCCAGAGAAAATTACACACAGGACAAATAATTTTATGGACCAAAGAAAATTGTGAAACAAGCAACATAATTTAGATATCATAGAAAATCAATATAATTGTGGTCAGAGAAATTTGGATTCCAAAGAAAATTAATTACAAGGGCATGAATAAATAGTGTTAATCAAAGAAGCAACATAAATTGAAATTTTAGAGAAAATTGATCTCAATCAATCAATGCGCATAAGTTATGGGCAGAGAAAATTACACAGAAGGAGAAATAATTTTATGAGCTAGAGAAAATTATGAAACAACCAACATAATTCAGATATAAGAGAAAATCAATCAGGACATATAAGTTAATGTGTTACAATTGTGGTCAAAGAAATTTGGATTCTAGAGAAAATTCATTACAAGGACAGAAATAAACCAGTGGTAATCAAAGAAGAAACTAGTGGTCAAAGAAATTTTGGAATTTCACTGAGACTTCAGTGGTGATGGAAATCTAACTTGTCGAGGTGCAAGAGAGTGGACTGGTGTCTTCTGCAACTGTTTGGTCAACCTTTGCAGGTTCTACTTCGCACATCTTGGGAATTCAGTTGTGTTACTGTCTTCCGAGTCAATGATAACCGCATGTTCGCATAGCTAATATTGTGATGGAAATTGAAATAATTAAATTTTGCTAAACACACAAATTTGTAAGTATCATAATTGTAAATTCTACTTACCAGCAATACAATAACACACCCCGTAACTTTTTCTGCAGTTTTGTGAAATGTTGTGATAGAATTGATCAATGTTGTTGTGATTGCTTTTGGCCAATCATACTGCTTCATTGATTCAAGAGGTTCCACGTACTTGATAAAAACCCACCCTATTGAATTCCCACTTGTTGCAAAAAATACGATGAGACACAAGTACAAGGTAACAATGATTGCTACATCTTTGAAGTTAGTTAGTTGCTTGCCGTTCATTGCTTTGAGCAAGGCATTCTTAAGAACAGGACCAGTGAACCTTGTGTCCTTTGGGAATCTTCGCCTTAGGAATGTAGTGTTTGGGTTTTTTGAGTATCTTAATGACATGGCTCCTTTGCCACCTTGTAAACCAAAAATCAAGGTCATGTCATTAGTTGTAAAGGTCAAGCTCTTTTTACCAACTGTGAATGCTTTCATTTTTTCATTGTAACATTAGATTATTGCAACTACATCATCATCAAATTTCCTAGATTTCTTTGGATCCATCCTTCTAGTGGTTGGAACTTGGATCAAATACCAGAATGGAGTCTTTTGAAGCTCTTCAAGTTAGTTTGAATTGAATTTAAGAGTTTGAAAAAAGGAGACAACAGATGAGAGATTGGATCGGTATTGAATGCTTTAATGAGCTCTCTTTCTTTGGAGTTTAATAGGTTTTTCCCCCGTTGAGGTTGAGTCTTTTGAAGTTGGGGTATTCATCTTGATGCTTGTTGCTTCATCACCTTAGACTTCTTTTTTTTGGCGAGGAGTTTGTGGTGTTTTGCTGCTTTTTGATCAAAGATCATAAGAAAATTGAGAGAGTTTCTATTTCTAGCTTGGTGCTTCTGGTGTTTTGCTACTTTTACGTTTCACCATTTCTAGACAATGAAAACATAATGATGTCAACATTAAATCACAGAGAAAATTGAACATGCTAGAGAAAATTGAACATGTTAGAGAAAATTACACATAAGGGAGAAAATTAAGGTGGCCAGAGAAAATTAGACACTAAAAATTTAATGTCAGAGTACTAATAAACATAGCAAACCAGAGAAAATTTTCATTCCACAATTAGCAAGATAAAATAAACAAAGCAATGCAAATATGCCACAGAAACTTATAGAACAGAGAAACTAATAATTCAACAAAATAAACATACCATAGAAAATTACACATGGCTAGCTGGAGAAAATTACATATATGCTAGAGAAAATTAAACATAACAAGCCAGAGAAAATTTCCATTCCATAATATGAAAATGCCAGAGAAATTTACAGACAACCAGAGAAAAATAAACATGACAGACACACACAAAGGAGAAAAGTGATATGGCCAGATAAAATTATAAATGACAGATAAACATAGACACAGACAAGAGAGTAAAATTATATATATGATATAGAAAATTAAATATGGCAAGTCAGAGAAAATTTTCATTCCATAATATAAAAATTGCAGAGAAATTTATAGACAACTAGAGAAAATTAAACATGACAGACACACATAAGGGAGAAAAGTGATGTGACCAGAGAAAATTATAAATGCCAGAGAAGCATAGACACAGACAAGAGAGTAAAATTACATATAGATGTAAAATATAGCCAGAGAAAATTCAAGAAAGAAATATAAATCTAGCAAGCACATAAAATGAAAATGCCAGAGAAATTTATAAAACAAAGAAATTTGAATGAATTGTATTTGAAAATTACACAGAGAAATACAAAGAAATTAATCATGTTAGAGAAAATGAGGGAATAAACATGTTAGAGAAAATTCAAAGAAGAAACATAAATCTAGCAAATACCAGAGAAATTCAAATGACAAAGAAATTTACAGACAAAATCAAAAAAAATCTTCAAGAATAAGTTCAAAACTTAGAGAAATAACATTTTTTAAATTCATGTAACTTTTTATTAAGAAATTGAAACCCTAATTAATGGAAAGCTAATATAATATGCAATTAACTGTGTTTCCATAGAAAAACTAGTTAGATTGGAGAAAACTTACCAGAGTGATGATGAAACCCTTATTACGAACTGATATGCCCTGAGATGAAGATGAACTGAGATAACGATGAACAGTGAAAATGGGTCAGAGAAATTTGTGAGGAAGGAATGGAAAAGATTTTGACAAAAGATAATGAAACTGTAATGTCGACAGTGAAGATGATTATGAAACCCTAATTCTCCTATTCTCTTACTCATGAAGATGGTTGGATATTTAGAATGGAATTGAGTCGTCAAAATCCGATGGAGTGTTCTCAGTTGATTTGTGAATGATATTTTGGTCCCAGAAAGAATTAAAAATGTGCACGTTGGGAAATTTTATTTCCACACACCAAATTATCTCTATATACATTTTTTCTCAATCCACACATTTAGTGATTTGATTTTTACTTCTTTATCTCAGTTCACGCATTTCACATTCCAAATATATCATCACCTTCTTTGTGCACATCCTCTCCTTCCATTATTTCTTACTCCAAGATCCTATATTTTCTTTAGTAAAATTCAATCTAAAGCAAATCGATAACATTTCAAAAACTTTCCACTGCTGCAGTATCAAATGTTACTGTGAAAGAACAAACATTCATCATTCCTACAATTTCTAGAGTAGTTCATTCAAAACTAATCAACATTACTCTAAATCCAGACCAACCACAAACAAATCCACTCGATAAACATGTAACACAAACTTCATTCGAGCTAACTAGAAATTTGTGTGCGATGTCACAAAATGTAATCAGTACAAGTACAACAATTGCAAGCATCTATCGACTAAACTAATAACAGATATTAAAAAAGAAAAACTTCAATTTCAGTCTTGAAATGAGAATCATAATAATTTTGAAGTGTGTTAAAAGAAATTGAAACCGATTGAATACACATCACAAAAAGATCTTGTATTTTCTTTAGTAAAATTATTTCTGAAGCAAATCGATAACATTTCAAAAACTTTCCGCTGATACAGGATCAAATATTGTTGTAAAAGGACAATCATTCATCATTCCTATAATTTCTAGAGTAGTTCATTTAAAGGCCGGCGGTGAAATGGTTGGTGAGATGGTGGTGGGTGAAATGTGTAAGGAGAAATTGTGAGATGTGTAGGTGAGATGGTAGTGGATGAGATAGTAATTTTGTTAAAAGGATAAAATTGTGATTCTGAAAAATTTATTGTGTAAAATAAGGAAACTTGGTGTGTGAAAATAGAATTTCCCGTACACGTTCTTCATTGAGGGACCTAAGGCATCATCCTTATTTTTGGTATCATTTATCCTATAAATTATTATTATTGAGGATCTTAAGAACAATTTTCCTAATTTTATTTATTTTATTATGTTATATTTATTTTATATTTATTTTATTATGTTATATTTATTTTATATAAAAATAATTTAATAATTTCCAAATCAACAACTGTCATTAAAATAAACATAATTTTATCAAGAAAAATGTCTCGTATCTCAAATTTTATGACTCAAAAGTGGCTCAAATAGCCAAAACGACGTTGTTTTGGCTATTTTTATGTTGTTCTGTACTCAAAACGACATCATTTTGACCATTTAAATCACTTTTAAATCACAAAATTTGAATTACGTAGCATTGTCGTTTTACCAATCCCTTAATTATGGATCGATTCACTATTAACTCCTTTGCTATCGATACCTTTCGCTTCTCCCTCGGAAAACAGACGGGGCTACATAAAAAACAGAAGCTGAAAAATCGCGTGGAAAGAACGACGACCTCTCTCTTTCTTGTCTCTATTTGTGTATGTCTCTCTCTCTGTGGAAATTTTAGAGAGAGGGAAATTCTTCAATCGAGAGAAAGAGAGAACCAGAATAATCATTTGTCAATAGAGAGAGAAAGATACACATATACATATATATACACACAGATAGAGAGGAGAGAGAGGGAGGGAGGGAGGGAGAGAGAGAGAGAGAGAGAGAGAGAAATGGATCAGATATTGAACAAGGTTGGATCTTACTGGGTAGGTCAGAAAGCCAACAAGGAGCTCAACTCCGTCGGCGAAGATATCAATGTACGTTTCTCTTCTATTTTGCAATTTTTATCGCCTTGCTAAGATCGTGTGATCCTAATTTATGCTGATCTGATCACAAAGTTGTTATCTTGATTGCCAAATTAGGGTTTTGTTTGATTTAACCTTGTTGAATTTGAAGAATTTGACTCAAAACATGGCATGATTACCTAATAATTACACTCAATCGAATAAAGTAATTTTGATGTCATACTTGTAAATAAATATTGCTTCCTTTTACTATTTTTAACTTCTTGCATAGTTGCAAATGCAGCCTTTACAAGCTCATCTTTAACATCTTTCTAATTCTTGTGGATTGTAGAAAGAAATCTACTAAACATGATTTCAGAAATCTGAATTTTTATTTTTATTTTTATTTTTATTTTTTCAAATTATTATTTCCAAGCACTAAGTTCTTGTGGATGATGATAAGTTAAAATCAGTTTACAATGACCGTCATGGATGCCAATATTCTGCCTAGATAAGTGATTAGGATGCTGGATTTCGTCTTTACAAAAAGTTTTTGAAGCTTACTCAAATATTTATTGTAAATTACTCTTGCAATTGCTTCCTGAAAATTGGAAGCAATATTTGGGAATCTCCATAATTGCATAACTATTTAGGGTATTTTTCATTTTCATTTTTTTTTTAAAACAAACTTGAGCCATTTAAATTTCAATAGAGTAACTGCTCAAGGCACTTGAGTCCTAATATGTTATTAACCCTAAGTGATATCGATGAGTTCATCAGACCTTTAATTGAACATTGTCAAATTAGGTTTTCTAACCCATGGTATTCAACTATCATGGAGCTTTACGGCTGGTTGTGTTGCAATCTCTTTGCAATGTGAGCATCTGTAGGTCTTGCCGACATGGTTGGGCTCCGTTCAAATGGCACAAATTCAGATATTTTCCTTTTGTTTTTAAAATCAGCTTGTTATAACTGAAGAATAGTTTGTGATCTCTATTCTTAGATAAAATTCTTATAGTTATAGAGAGGAATTATTTTATTAAACATTGCCAAATTAAGTCTTCAATCCATGGTTTCCAACTATCATGGACATTTGTAGCTGATTTGATTGCATTGCAATCTCTATGATAGGTACGAGTCACTTGGACTTGTCAACTTGGTTGGGCTCTGTTTAATGGCACAAACCCATCCTGCAGGATGAATCTTTTTCCCTTTGTTTTCAAAATACATGTATTATAATTAAGAATAGTTTGCATTTCGCATTTTTAGATGTACTTGGAGTTTAGAGAATAATTCCAGATGCAGTTTGTCAATGCACAATGCTGCACTTGGACGTGTAGTTGGATAGTCTTCCCACTAAGTGGAATTTTAATTTTTTTTTCTCTGTTCATTTCATAGCATTAACCTGACTTTCACAGCAGTAAACTTGACCAGGAATGATAATAAAAGGTAGAAGTACTGTTTCTAGAGCATCTTGAAAATTATTGCAGCAATATTATGACACTGAAAAACAAATGTCAATATATTATAAAAATTGCAATTAATTCCTTTATTTCCTCAAGAATTACTTGGCAGCCCCTTATTCATTACTTCTTATTCTGTAATGTATGTTGGAAACACGGGTGCATATGGGAGCTCACTCTGCATTCTTATAGTTGGTTATGCCTGAGCTTCTTCTTTTCTTTTTCCTGTTATTTTTTTATACTGACCTGTATTTCTATAACTAGTCATTGTCAACCAGCATTGAAGGAGGAACCAAATGGTTGGTTAACAAAATTAAAGGTTTGTTTACTTCCACAGATTCTCCGCTACATAAAAAACAGAGGCTGAAAAATCGCGTGGAAAGAGCGACGACCTCTCTCTGTCCTGTCTCTATTTGTGTATGTCTCTCTCTCTGTGAAAATTTTAGAGAGAGGGAAATTCTTCAATCGATAGAGAGAGAACCAGAATAATCATTTGTCAATAGAGAGAGAAAGATACACATATACATATATATATACACACAGATAGAGAGGAGAGAGAGGGAGGGAGAGAGAGAGAGAGAGAGAGAGAAATGGATCAGATATTGAACAAGGTTGGATCTTACTGGGTAGGTCAGAAAGCCAACAAGGAGCTCAACTCCGTCGGCGAAGATATCAATGTACGTTTCTCTTCTATTTTGCAATTTTTATCGCCTTGTTAAGATCGTGTGATCCTAATTTATGCTGATCTGATCACAAAGTTGTTATCTTGATTGCCAAATTAGGGTTTTGTTTGATTTAACCTTGTTGAATTTGAAGAATTTGACTCAAAACATGGCATGATTACCTAATAATTACACTCAATCGAATAAAGTAAT